GTCGTGATGCGTGCACTGTCTTCACCGTATGGGTTCTATTCAACTTCTTCGGCGTCTTGATCTCTTGTCTTGTCACATCGGGTCGTCTTACATGGGCATTTGCTCGAGACAATGGACTCCCCTACTCCAGGATGTTTGCGTCAGTCAATACGACATTGCAGACTCCAATCAACGCCACCGTCGTCTGCGTGGTCTTCTGCAGTCTCTACGGCCTCATCTTCATTGGTTCAACCACGGCTTTCAGCAGCATTATCTCAATGTCGATTCTGGCGCTCAACATAAGCTATGCAGTGCCTCAGGTTATTCTTCTTGCTCGCGGGCGCGAGCGAGTCCTGCCATCACGAAGCTTCAAGCTTGGGAAGTTTGGCGTGTTCGTCAATGCTTTCTCTTGCGCTTGGGTTGCGTTTTACACGCTCATCTTTTGCTTCCCCGTTTTCCTGCCCGCCGAGGTAGAAAGCATGAACTATGTCAGCGTCGTTCTCGCAGGGATCATCCTTTTCATCCTGGTCTTTTGGTTCGCCCAAAAGAAAAAGACGTTCACTGGCCCGGTTGGTCTTTCGTTTCATGAGTCTTGAAGAGTTGTTTGCTAATAGATCCTAGAACATCAGCATCGACGGCCTAGAGACTGTGCAAGCATAATCAATCCAACAAAGCAACCATCCAGGCCCTCGAGTGTGGCTGTACACCTACGAGCCGCTCTATCCCAGGGTTTAATAGTTCTATCAGATAATCCTGACAGGAACGCGATCATAAGACCCAACCTTTATAGCCTTCAATCATGTGTACACAGCCAGCAGTGCTACATTCCAGAATTTAATGCTTTTACCTATTGATGCTGATGCAAGTAAAGTGCTGGTGTATGAGAATGCAACGGAGGTGACCGCGTCGCTATAGCTATGAAGTGCGGCTAGACAAATGCCGGTAGCTACCTCCCACAGCTTGATAGCCTTATTATACGACCCCTATGCAAGCATAGTGCTGTCGTGTGAGCATGTGACGGAGTTGACTGTGTTTATGTGGCCTCGAAGAGTGGCAGTACAGTCACTCTAAGCCACATCTCAGCGCTCAATCGTCATATTCGACGACGCCGACGCCAGCATAGTTGAGGAATATGACCGACCAGAGCGCTTCGCTATGTCCCTCGAGCATGGCAGCGCAGACGTGGCAATATCATGTGAGAACGTAATTAAGAAAATTCAATCAGTATGACCATATACTGTAGCCATGGAGCGCTGTGTCAAGCCTCATGATTCTGTTTTGGCGCATCAAACATCCTACTCGAATAAGGAAGCTGAACCCCACCGGATCAGAGACTCGGTATGGAGGGCGGATCCGCCGGCTCAGTGAACATGGTTTCCGTGAAGCTTTCCTGAGCATGTAGGCATATCGAACCCCTTCAGTGTCTCCTAGCATAATGAGCCTCCAAAGTAACTTGCCGGCGATGCCATTACACGCATAAGGAACTACATCCGCGGACATAGTAAAAAGGAAAGGACCGCAGTACCTGCTACTGGCCAACACCTCTTCAAATTTCATATTGCAAATCAGAAAAGCCTGTATGGGGGTTCCGTGGGAATGTAGTATGGTATTCTGTAGTAGATTCGTCGTTGTTCTTCTTCAGATCTGATGTGAAGAGAGTAAAATAAAGAGTAAAAACCCATCTGAATGTATGAAATGTTGTAGCGAGATATTCAAACGATGCCGCGAACGACAGTCGGCCTTTCAATCAAGAGTACAAAGTACATTTCACATTGGGACAATGTATGTCTCAGTAAGAAGTGAAGAATCAATCCTTCTGTCGATAAGATCTTGCGTTTTGCTCCGCGATCAGCATCATTTTTTTTGATTGCGTTATCCGAAGTAGTATAGTGTCACATACTCTTGAGGCTGTATTGATGTCAAAGTTGAAGATCGTGGATAGTTTCATTGAGATCTGGGCCCGTCCGGGCTATCTCATTAGCCACCGCATGCTTGATTGTGTTCAAGGAGTCCGGAAGGGTGGTAAAGATTTGCGTGATATTGCCTGCCTGATTCAATTCCTAGCGATTGTTGTTGTCCCACAAGAAAGCCCGCAACTTTTGCAATGCGTAACTAAATTGTTACCATTCTTGAAGTCTAAATCACAGCCAGAACTAAGCTACTACCATTGCCGATATAACTTACCGACCTTAAGTTGGTCCTGACAGTCTTGGTACTTTTGCATTCTTTCATCTGTTATTTATAGTTATGAAGAAATTTATTGCTTGAGGCATGAGTCACGTGGGATAAAGAGCCTTGTTCGGCCTCGTCACAACCATCGCGAAGCTTTCTTTTGTTTCTCTATTCTTAACCCTTTCACCTCGCTTTGTCCGCCGTCTGCCTCCATTCACAGCGACGCCGACGACGCGATGACCCGACGACACGACGATCACGGCCAAGGCCCCGGCGGTGACAATGATGAAAGGATGACGCCGACGCCGACGCCGAAGCCGACTACCACAATGGATAATTGCAGCCCTCGTCCGAGATCTCACAGAGCGGCGGTGCTTGGAGAACTCGACAATCATCACCACCCCCAGCCCCGCCACCCCCAGCAGCAGTGGGATCCAGACCTGAAGGGCCCGGCGACATCACCATCACCACCACTACCATTACCTCCGCCGCATGACCTCGCAGAGGAACGGAACACCGTCGAAGCAGCACGACCCGTTGGGGCCTCCGTTTTGCCCTCCGTCCCCACCCCCGTCATCACAGAAACCGAACCGGCGCTGATTCAGGCGCTCTGGGCAACAGTTGCTACACACAACCATCTTCTCTTCGCCCACCCTCCGCTGCCCCCACCATCCATCCTGTCATCTTCGTCTCCATCTTCGACGTCTGCTTATCCCCCGCCCGCGGTTCACGA